TGAGGGTTGCGATCCGTTGCCGGACACGGAAAAAAGACAAAAGACAATAAAAAAAAAAAAAGAGCTGGGTTCTAGTCCTCATTCCACCACTTATTGGCTCTGTGACCCTGGCAAATCCCTCATCCTGTCTGAGCTTCAGCTTCAACAGTGCCCAACTCCCAGGGTGGTTACAAAGATTTAATGACAGAATACATGGGGGGCACCCAAAGCAGTGCCCGGCTCATGGCAAGTGTTCAGTACTTGCTGTTTATTTCTGACAGTTACTATCACAGACCATGATCCCTTGTCCACAGTGCCAAAATCTAAAGCAGCTCCAAAAACCAAAGGTTGTTTTTGCAACTGATCTGGCAGCCAAACCTGACCTGGCCTGAACTCCACTGGCAGCCACACCTGTCAGGGGCCACCACGAGCTCATTCATAATCTTTATCTTTTACTGTGAATAATCGCACGTTTCATACGCAGTTGCTAACAGAGTGCTGCCCAGACTCCTGGAGGTGTTATGGTGTTACCATAGGCGGTATCCTCTGGAAATTCTTGCTCTGATTTGCATGAGGGCCTAGGGCTTGCACTGGAATTTTCATGGCTTCTCCCTCTGCCCACTGCCTCTGACCTCTCGGCTGGTTTCGAGGGCCCTTCCTAGTGGAGACCAGCCCTGACTTTCCAACACAGGCCAAAGGGCCTTCCACTCCCTGAGAGAGGAGTGAGCAAGCCAGGGAGGCTCCTGCAGCAGATCACTGAGCTGAGTTAAAACCTGCAGACAGTTTTTGCTCCCTGAGGGCTAGGATCCTCTCTCCTGCACACTCTGCCCAAGGTACCTCGCCCAGACTCTGCACAGCATCAGCATGGAACTATCACACCCAACTCTCATCTCTCTAGTGTCCAGCTCACATGCTGTAGGACTCAATTCAGGATGGGTCAGACTAGCAGTGAGAATAGAGGCGGCAATGGGGAGAGTGGAGGAGAAGACAGGAAGACCCAGGCCTCAGCCCTCAGCTTAGAACCACTCCTAGTTGAAGGCCTCCCCTCCCTGAAGTAACAGGCTCCTAGTTACTTCAACCTGTGTTCTCTGATTCACTGTGTCAACGAGGAATGTTCTCAACACTCTGGAGAAGAGGTGGAGGAGACTCTGCTCTAGGTGGGTCAGCCTTATTTAAAACACTAGCGGACCTGCATGGTTAGCTCAGTTGGTTAGAGCACAGCCTTATAGCCCCAAGGTCACGTGTTTGAATCCCCATACCCACCAGCTGAAAAAAAAAAAATTAAAAACAGCAACAAGGGCCGGCCCGGTGGTGCACTGCTAAAGTGCACTGCTTGGGAGGTGCAGCGGCGCTCCTGCTGAGGGTTCGGATCCCACATACAGACCGGCCGCTCACTGGCTGAGTGAGGCACGGGAGCAACACCGAGGCTTGCAATCCCCTCGCCGCTCCCCGCGCCCGCACGGCC